GAAATAGTACTTTTTTAAGAGATAAATTTTGGACTAAATTATTAGATTGGCAATTTTGACAAGTGTTTCTGTGAAATTGTCTTAGTATGTTTGCTTTTGCTATAATAGAATATCTGAGGCTGGGAAGTGGGAGGTTTATTTTGTTCACAGTTCTGGAGGTCCAAGAACATGGCACTAGCCTCTGCTTGACTTCTTATGCAGGCCTTATGACCGAAAACAGTGTTGCTAAAAATTGATCTCTTAGTAAGGAAGACTGAGTGTCTAGCTCAAGTTTCTTCTCCTTTTAGGAAGCCAGAACCCCGTCTAATCAGGGTCCTACTCTTTTGGCCTCATTTAACTTTATTTACCTCCCAGTATTTCCACCTTCAAATATTATTGTTGGACTAAGTTTCTACTCCCTTAATAATACCTCATAGTGGAGATTTAGACTTCAACATGAGTTTTGTGGGGAACATCCAGACCACAGCAATAGGGAAGTTAACTTATCTAGGAAGCACTGATGTTACTTTCTTTATTGAGTATTAATACTGTTTGCTGGTGTTTTCTAGTATTTGAACATTTACTAAAGGCTGCAGTTCCTTCTGAGTGCTTTAACAGAAGAAATGTAAAAAGAAGATGTGATGTATGTGAAGATGTTGTGTAATGCTTTGACTAGAATCAAAAGCTGATTTCAAATCAGTTAAATCAATATACATTACAAAAGCAAAACTAAATTCTAAACAACCAGACAAAATATTTTAATCATTAAACATCAAAATAAACTTAACTGAAACAATGAAAATACAGGCTGAGCATCTCAAATCTGAAATCCAAAATGCAGCAAAATCCAAAAATTTTTGAGCACCAGTATGTACCCACAAGTGGGAAATTTCACATCTGACTTCATTGACAGGTTGCAGTCAAAACTCAAGAACACTAAAAATGATGTATAAAATTACCTTCAGGTTATATGTATAATGTATATATAAAACATAAATGAAATTCATGTTTAGACTTGGGTTCCATTCCCTAAGCATTTCAAAGGTATATGCAGATGTTCCAAAATCAGAAAAATCTGAAACCTGAAACACTACTGGTCCCAAGCATTTTAGATAAGAGATATTCAACCCGTACTCATACGATTGGAGCAGTCAGTAATAGCGAAAGAGTCCATTTGCTGGGATATTTGTCATTAAAAAAATAAATAAATAAAGACTTTTGAATAGAATGAATAATGTTTTGTGTGCTTTAAACATCCATTGTTAAGAATGATAAATTGTTGGCTGGGGAATGTAGCTCAGTGGTAAAACACTTAACCTACTATATGTGAGGCCCTGGTTTCGATCCCCAGTATAGCAAAAAAGAAAAAACAATAATGATAAGTTTCAAATATTTGTGTCATTATCTTTTTAATATTTTTAATGATTTCTATTGAATTTATTTTGTCCTAAGATTCCTTTTAATATGTTGTATTATCAAATTTCTGTATCAGGTAAAGGTCATGTTTATGTTTTTTTTATATATTTTTTGAGATATATAATCTTGTTGCAATATTATTATTGATTCATAATAATAGTAAACCAAGCATTTATTATCCTTTAACATCTTTGAAACTTATTATGACCCTATCACAGAAAAATGATTATTCATTATTATAATCACTCATTATTTGTTTTCTTTGAATTGCATTATTGAGATAAAGTTCGTCTACCATACAATTCTACCATTTAAAGTGTACAATTTACTGTTTTTTACTGTATTTGTAACAGGGTTATGCAACCATCATCATAATCTAATTTTAGGTCATTTTCATTCCTCTCAAAGAAATCCCATACTCATTAGCAGACCTCCCATTCTCCTCTAGTTTTTCCTAATTCAACATTGGGAAGTTTGTTGGACAACAAAGTGATGACAAATTTAGTTATAGATCCAATTGGATTTTATTTGCAGTTCATGAATCAAGGCAGCAACTATTCAACAAAATAGCAGGTGACATCCCTTCTACAAAACCCCTTATAGTTCCCAATGGGCAGTAGTAAAACAGTGGGTTTTCATTGTTAAGAATGAAATGGGAACAAGGAAACAGCAATAGAAGGGAAAAAAGGTTAATTAACATCAGGTTACTTCAGATTGCTTTTTTGTCAAGGTTAAAGCTAAGGGAACTTCCTTATTATACTGATTCAGATATACTGAAATGTATTGCTTTTAGGAAAAACTGGTGTGTTTGGGGATCTATCTGCTTCATTAAAGTTTCAGTTTGATTATGTGGTACTTAATTTTGAATAACTCCATTTGGCTTGGTCTGTTCATTCAGGGCCTCTTGCTGGGAGTAGGGGCACATGCTTATAATCATAGCAATTTAGGATGTTGAGTGAGGCAGGAGGATCACAAGTTCAAAGCCAGCCTTAGCTACTTAGTGAGGTCCTAAGCAACTGAGTGAGAGCCTGTCTCAAAAACATGAAAAAACTGGGAGTGGGTGAAAGTAGGTTATAGCTCAGTCGTGAAGCACCTCTGGGTTCAATCCTCAGTACCCAAAATAAACTAAAATAAGTAATAAATGATAAATAATGAAAAAATAAATAAACAATGGCTTCTTATAATTTGTTATACATACTTATCTACTTTCTATCTATAAATTTTCATATTCCGTATATGTGTTCTTTTGTGACCGTCTTTCACTTAGCATTTTCTGTTTGTATTATGGCATATTCTAGTACTTCATTTTGCTTCAAAAAATATTTCATTTTATGAATATACCACATTTTGTTTAACCTATTTATCATTTGTTAGACATTTTGGTTGTTAACACTTTGAGGCTGTTATGAATTATGCTCCTTTGAACATTCATATGCCTATTTTGATGTTAATATAAATATTTTAAGCTTTTCTTTCAGCTGTATAGCTAGAAGTGAAATTGCTGAATCATATCATATGTTAACTTTTTTAAATATATTTTTTCTTTAGTTATAAGTGGACACAATATTTTAATTTTATTTTTATGTGTGCTGAGGATCGAACCCACTGCCTCACGCATGCTAGGCAAGTGCTCTACCTCTGAGCCACAACCCCAGCCCCTCATATGTTAATTTTTTAAGCAATTGCCAAACTGTTTTCCAAAGTGACAGCACTGTTTTACATTCCCGCCAGTATGTATGAGGATTCCAGTTTTTCTATATCCTTACCAGTACTTGCTACCTTTTTCACTATGGCTATTCTAGTGCATTTCAAGTAGTTTTGATTTGTATTACCTTGATGGCTAATAACATTGAGCTTCTTTTCATGTGCTTTACTGGTCATTTGTACATCTTTGTAGAAACACCTATTCAGATCCTTTTGCCTGTTTTAAAAGTGGATTATTTGACTTTTTATTGTTGAGTTGTAAGAGTTTTTCATTTTTTTTCTGGATACTGGAGACTTAACCAAGTACATAATTTGCAAATATTTTCTCCCAATGTGTGGGTTATCTTTTCATTTTCATGGTGTGCCCTTTCCAAAACTTTTTTAATTGTGATGAAGCCAAAGTTATCTATTTTCCCTTTTGGCGATCATGTTTTTGATGTTTTATCTAGCAAACCATTGCGTAGTTCAAGGTCAAAAAGGTTTGATTTTATGTTTTCTTCTAAGAATTTTGTTTTAGCTCTTCATTTAGGTCTGTGGTCAATTTTTGTTATGCTTTGTGTAATTATTTTTAAAAGCATTTTTAAAACACTATGGAAAATATGGAATAGCTTATGAATTCAGGGAGAATTTCTGAGAATTCTGTTGGGAGCGCTAGGTGGTGCCCAACCTTCTTTTCTCTGTATGGTAGTAAAGGCTCTGAGGTAGTTTACTCTTTAAACAGATGGTGGCAGCAGAGTTTGGTGAATGAAAATTGTAGTTAGAAGTTAGTATTTTAAAATTATGAGTTCTTTTGGCCTGCCTTCTTTTTGGTAATAGGTTGTTAAATGCTGAGTTTTAAGCTCCTTGTAAGATTCTTGAAGGATTATTTAAATCAGGTATTTTTCTACATAAGTTTATTCAGACTTTTCAGTATGTGAAAAGGCCAGTTTGTTAGGTATGCACATGATGTCATGATTTGCCAAACCCAGGACACAATTTTCTCAGATTTCTCTAATGTATTTTATCTACTTAATTATCTCACTCCTATTTATAATCTTCATGTAGAGATGAAGTGGTAGAGTAACAGTCAAAATGTTGGTTAGTGCTAAAACTGTTCTGAAACAAATTGGAAGATTACAGTGTGATTCTAAGGATATAGGTAAAATAGAAGTTGGACACATAAGGGATCTCTTTTTTTAAATTCAGTAATAAAGACAGTTTTTACATCATTTCATAATTGGACCTCAGATGTTCTTTTTTAGGACAGCCTAGTAAAAAGGGAAATTAGGTGTTGCTATTCATTGATAATTGTTTTCAAGATAATAGAAATGACACACATCCATTGAGCACTTAGAGTTTGCTAAACACTGTGCTAAATGCCTTTTATACATTGTCTTGTACTTTCAGAACAATTCTTAGAGGTAAGTATTATTTTTAACCCCAAATTTTCTGCAGGAGCAGCTGGATTTAGAGAAGTAAATAATTTGCATAGGTTCACATTAGGAGATGAAGTTGTGTGTTTGTTTATAAACAATTGTATTATACTTCTGTGTATTTAATTCTTGTGGAGCTGGTGTACTGTATCGATTTGCAACTTTTAAAATTCTTAATTCGACAGTCTTGAAAAATCTCTAACTCTTGCTTACTACATAAGGCTATGTGGTCAGTGTCTTATGAGTGGATAATATTTTCTTGTTTGGCTTGGCTGCTGAAAAAGAGCATATCTTGTGATCTCATCTAATTTTAGCTTTACTTTGCTTTTCCACTAGAGGGCATACAAAATGTTAGGTTTGACTTGTTTTTTTCCCCTGTAAATAAACCACAATAGTAATGGAATAAGTATTTATTTTTATAGTGACCAGAAATAAAAAAAAATGCATAGAATCGGTATAATGCTCTTCCTGTTTTATTTTGTACTGCAGATTACTCATTTTTGGATCCTATGATAGAGAAGCAAATATTCATTGCACACTTGAGTTGAGCAGTGGTGTTTGGGAAGAAAAACAAAGGAGTTCTATTAAGACGGTAAAATTGATTTACTTAATTTTACTTCTGTATAAGGTTTTATTCTCTAAGCATATTTTTATTAATATTTTTATATTCATAGAGTTATTTTTAGTCATGAGCAAATAGTGATGACCAGTTCTTAATTGTCTTATTAAAATAGTACAATATTGGTAATAAAATAAATCACGTGAAAATAGTTAATATTCAGACTGTCTGCCTAAGAAGTAAAATCTGACTGATTTTCATTCCAGAACTTTAAAATTGTTTCAGTAAGGGATTAGAAGGAAATAGTTTTACTGAATGCCTGAGAAAACGTGAATTCACAGCATTCATTCATTTAGCAGGTGTTTTAGGAGCACTTATTTTGTGGTAGGTACTGTTTGGAGGCTGGAGGGACGATTCCAAAAAAGAAAAGATCATATACCTGTTATATGAACATGGGGTAGTGGTTTGGTGTGGGAGTTAGAAGCTGGCTGGGAGGTAAGCTTCCCATTATAGGATAGAATGTAGCAATAAACTATAAGCCAAAAAAGTGAACAAAGTTCCAGAGATTGACAAGTACTGGGAAGAAAAGTACATGAAAAGGTGTATGACAAAGGAGGCTTTTTAGATCTGGTGATAACAGGGAAAGCCTCTAAAAAGAAGGCACTGGAGGCGATGCTCAGCTAAATCTGAATCATAGGTAAATAATGAACATATATATGTATTTTTTTCTCTTCCCAATATTAATATTAATATCTCCCTAGTATTTCAGGGTTAACAGTCAAAAATGCTGCTAAATCTTTTAACATGTAATGGCAAGGTATTTTTATGTATGTTCCTTTTACTTTTAATTTGTTTTCAATTTCTTTCTGTTGTGAACATCCTTACATAAAAATCAGAGGGGGGGATAGAAATTTTCTTGGAAGGAATAAAGTAATTTTGATGAGAGTGGGAAAGTAGGGAGAAGTAAAACTGGCAAGGGAGGGCAGCCTGGCACACAGAATTTGAGATGATGAAAATAGTGGGAGCTGCTGAAGATTTTGACCCTGGTAACTGACATGGTCAAAATAGAGGTTTAAAGGTGTTTTCCTTTTTTATTTGGTGACTGTCATTGCCCAACTTTCTTTTAAGTTATATCTCAGCTGCTTGAATCAGCTCCTCAGAGGAATAAAATATCCAGTTTTAGAGTTTGTATTGAAATACATAACTACATTGAAACATGTTGTTTTGTCTAAGTACATTTTTGACTGCAAGTTGGTTGTAACTTGCCATTGCTGTTGGCATTTTCAGTTTCCTTTATTATATTTGCAAAGATATGAGATTAGACAGCTTTAATACTTTAGAACAAAGGCTAGCAAGACCTTCATCTTGAATTATTATTTTAGATCTTAGTATATGTCATTAACAGTTTTCAAGAAAGAATTCTAGGTTACTGTATTTAGTAATCTCATTGAAAATGTCAAAAACATTAAGTGTCTTCAGGCATTAAATTACCTATGTCTGAATTTAATAACTCAAGGGAGGAGAATTAGTTTTTCAAGACAAGACAAAATAACAGAGAATAGGATTTGATAATTTGGGATATATTTCAAATTTGAGTAGAAAATAGCTCTTTAGAAAACAAGTATGCTAAATTAATGATGAATTTAGGACATTATCATTGTATAAATACAGTCTTCAGGTTTAAATTCACCTTTTAAATGTTGAAATTTGTTCAGTGCGTGTAACCACTAATTGTAATGAATATGCAGAATGAAAGAAATTTAATTCCTCCAGTATTTTAATGTGCCTTTGAAGTTTTAAGACACTACAACGCTGTAGTAAAAGAGCCTGGCTTCATCTTCCGTCACTCATATAGTTTTATCCTTATGATTGCAAGATATCTAATGCACTCCTCAGTATCACATCATTTAAGAAAAAGGGTAAGGTCTAAGATAGGCCAAAGGCACATGTCAACCAGATTTTGTCTTTCAATATTTTACTTAAAATGTACCCCCGGGTACACGGAAATGAGTTAGCCATATAAAAGTAAATGGATGGGAAAAAGAATTAGTGTTCTTCAGCTGAAAAGACAGATGGGTGTAATTAATGAGAATGTATAAATACAAAAAATAAATGATAATCAACAAATTTACTGAGTTGAGAACTAAGTCTATGGAATTATGAATATAAACCTCATGTCCCTGATGATAATCAAGTGATTAATGCTAAAAGAATACTTAAAAGGTCTTTGATAATACTGCAGGCTACATACTTGGTGGTAGACTTCACAGGAGGACAAATATGCTATATTTTTAATGCTATGTGTCCTACACTTAGTATAATTCCTGGTATGTTGTGTTGTTCAGTCAATGTCCTGGAAGCAAAAAGACAGAATGATTTTCTGAAATATAGATCTAATTCTGTCCATTGCCCACTTAAGTCCCTCAATGGCTTTTTTTCCTTCTCTCTCTTTTTTTAATTTGTTCTTGTCAGTTATACATGCTAGCAGAATACTCTTCGTTGTACACAAATGGAGCACAATTTTTCGCTTCTGGTTGTATGCAAAGTAGGGTCACACCATTTGTGCAATCAATCATGCACATATCTAGCGTAATGATGTCCATCCCATTTCAACATATTTCCTACCCCTGTGCCCCTCCCTGCCCCTCCCTCCCCTTTGCCCAATCCAAAGTTCCTCCACTCGTCCCCCTCCCCCCATTATGGATTAGCATCCACCTATCAGAGAAAACATTCAGCGTTTGGTTTTCTTGGGATTGGCTTACCTCTCTTAGCATGATATTCTCCAACTCCCTCAATGACTTTTTATTGCTCTTAGGTTAAGAACAAATTCTTTGATGTGACAAAGTCAACCTTCCTGGTCTGGTTCCTATTTGTTTTCCCTGCCCTCTTTCTTGCTTCTCATTCTCAACCAAACCATGTGTGGTTTGGTTGTCTTTTACTCCGTCATACCTGATCACACTCTCTGTACACTACAGGATCCTGATATGTGTGTACCCTTCCCCCCAACTCACTCCTCCACACATATCTTCACCCACCCCATTCTTTAGATCTCTGCTTGTGCCAGATGTTAGCTTGTTTGCCCTCAGGTTTGTTCTTGGGCCGCCTCCCTGCTCCATGCCTTAAGAGGACTAGCCTCTGCCATTGTGTGTCAAGCCTTCAAGGGTATCCAGCTTTCAGCCAAGTTTGACCAGAGTGAAGCACTCATGGGAAGTGAAGCACCGGGGAAGCCAGGGAGGTCTTCCTCTTATCCTCTGCTTTGGACAACATGTCTGGCAGAGGCTCTTTCTCCTCCATGCTCTTTGTTTCTCCCAGGACAGGCCCACAATGCTTCCAACTTCTGTTTGGTACTTCAGCCCCTGGCCTCTTCTAATACCACTTTTTCCCCTCTGTCATTCCAGCCTAAGGTAGTAGTGACTTTTTACTGTAGCTAATATCTGAGTTTCCTCACTCTCTCCTTATTTGGTATTCAGTTTTTCTGTCACCAAGTAGCCATTCCCATTTTTAAGTCCCATGCTTTCAAATACTCAGGTGTTTTCTCTTTTCTCATCAGAACCTGATAAACCAATCATCATTTCCTCTGGGAAGCCTTTCCTAACTAGCACAAACTCCTTGATAAATACTTGTGTCACAGTTGGAATTTTATATTTGTAGCTCTATGCTAATTTGATCAGTGTTATCGCCACCAGTATCTTTCATTACAGCAAGTGTCATGATTGGTTTTACTCTGGATATTCAGTAACTGTTTCTGAGAAGACTCTGGCCTCCATCCTCCAGGTACTCTCAACACTTTTTTGTTCTCACACCTTCAGGGTTTCAGAGTGACTTTTAATCATGTTTCTGTCTCCTTCCTTCCTTCAAAGCTGTTTTTGATCTGTTTTAATAAAATAAAAACCTTTTGAAGAGGAAGTCCACAAAACAAGATTTCCTGCTGAATATTACTTTTGTGAAAAGTCTGGTTTGTAGAATGAGAATTTTAGTTTACAAATGTGATACCTATTGGTGTAAGTATTTTACTTCTGGAATTACTAAAAATGTCAAAAGGACTTCTGACTATGTGTAAGTTCAGGGTTGCCTAAATAAAATGACTAAGTATGATCTAAGATTTACCCTTTTAGTTTTAGAGAATTTTAGAATTCTTGCTGAGTGATATTGAATGTTCTAGCTACATTTTGTTGAGTGTTCATACAAAGAACATAAAAGAGCTCCCTAAAGAACTCTGACTTTTTGAGTAAGAACATCTGAGACAGATTTATAAATACTTTAGGCCAGATGCCTCAAAGTTGGCATTTTGGTATTTGTGTAGGGCCAAATGCCTTGCAGGTAGCATTTTGGTGCACCTATTTAACCATTTGCCATTTACAGTCTTAATCTTATGAAAAGAAAGAGAAAGATTAATGCAAATAAAGCTTTTTTGAAAATGTCAGTTTTTATGAAAACTCTGGTTTAGTTCAATCTGATAATATTTGCAAATACAGGAGGGATTCAGTGAAATTTTAACTGTATATAATGTTCTGCGATTTGGCTTTTTAAATACTAAATGCCTTTGAGCTTTAATAGTAAATCCTGTGCAACATTTTCACTCTTGAAATTGATCTTAATTAAAAATGAGGGATGCAGTTTTCTGCCATAGGTTTTCTTACTGTTTAGTATGATTGTGAAATGCTGCAAAAAGAGTGGGCACTTATGTTAAAATACAGAAACATAAAGTCTCCATATCAGATCAGTGTAAGGCACTATTGTATGAGAAGAAACTGAATATGAGGAGATAAGTCATTTTGTGATCCTTTTCTTTAATGGAAATGTGAACAGTGGTACTGTGTACATCATCAGTATCACTATTAACATATGAAGGGAATCAGAGTTTCAGTATAAAATACCATGAGCTTCCATTGAAAGGAAAGCAACATTCTTTTGGAAAATCTAGAAAAGAATATATTAAGGAGATGACATTTGAGCCTAGCCTCACAGTGTATGTGGAATTTTGAGATGGTAAAGAAGGCATTTCAAGATGGAGGACATGGCATAAACCCCAA